GCCCCATCTCTGCAGCTGACCTGGCTGTCAGTGTTTGTTGAGTGTGCATGTGAGTAAGCGGACAGACGGAAGGCTGCTGGCTCCAGCCCCGTCTCCCTTGCTCCCGCTGCTGGCTTGGAGATGCTGTCTAGTTTTAGAGTCACTGGGGATGCCTGACTCGGTGCCCTGGGCTCCTGCTCTCTGTGTGGGTGCTGGTCCCCTCAAGCCTCCCAGATGCTGAAGGAGGGGCCTGCCTGAGGAGAAGAGGCACGCAGGCTGAGGGCCCAGCCTGACAGGGGGACATGAGGTCTCTGGGTCCGTCTCCTGGGCATGAGCTCCCAGAGGCCAGTGCTGTTGGGCCCAAGGACCACAAAGCCACAGCTGTCCCGGGGCTTCCCTAGACTCAGCCCACAGAAGCCCCCTGTCTGGCCCCACAGCCTGCTGGTTCTCCTCCCCGACCCGCACTGTGCTTGGCGTGTGGTCTCCGTTCCTCTGTAAAACACCTCTGCCCTGCCCAGAGTTTTCCATCCACAGTCCCAGGTCTGAAGCAGCATTAGCAAGTTGAAAATCCAATTGCTTTTCAATTACTCTAGTCCTAGCCAGACAGAGGTTACTGTAAGTCACATCGGAAGGGGGAGGGAGAAGGAGGTAGCACCTGGGGCCAGGGCCCAGCTGACACTTGAAGATGGATGTGACAAGGACCTGTGGCTCAGAGGCTCAGGATTAGATCAACAAGGCTGAGCTGGCTGGTTCCGGGAAAGAGGTCTTGTAGGCCCTGGCTGACAGACAGGCAGGCAAGGAAAGGGCTCCGGGCCAGGCCTCCCTGGGCAGAGGAGGTGCCAGGGCTGAGGGTCCAGCCTGGAGAGGGAGGGCCTGAGGTCCCTGGGTCCCTCCCCTGGGCATGGGCATTTTGCCAGGAGTTCCCAGAGGCCAGTGCTGTTGTACCCAAGGATCAAAACCCCACAGCTCCTTGTGGGTCTTCCAGAGCAGCACTGGTCCCCCTAGGGCCCCAGCATTTTCTGTGAACATACACCCACTCTCCCTCATAGCCATGCAGGCCAAATAGCTAGCTTCTTCCATCCGCAGCCTGTGGCTAAGTGGGCCACTCACTCGTGATCCCTTGTCATGGGGAGCAGCCATCTTTGGGGTACCCAGGGATGGGGGTTGGCAATTGAGACCTCTCGTAAGGGAAGATGAGCCTGGCTCTGCAAAATCGGATGTTACCGGTGGGAGGATTCTCAGCTGCAGGTCCCTCCCGGCACAGACACGTGCCCCGCCATGTATAATGATCGCAGGAGGCCGGGGAGCCCCTTGCTCACTCCTACCCAGGGCTCTGGGAGGCCCTGATGATGGAGTTCTGAGCTCTGGGCTGCGCTGGGCTCAGCGGGTGCCCACTGCCCACGCAGACACACACGGATCTGTACCTTCCGCATCACTGGCTGCACCTTGTTTGCTGCAGCTGTCATTTGCGTGTCCCCACACGATCTGTCTCCCATCCCCCCACATGCAGCAGCCCCCTCCCCAGCCCCTCCATAGGAAACGGTCACAGTTCCAGATTCGGAGGGGTGTTAATCTGGGGGGGATCTGATGAGTCATTGCCATGGGAACGGATGTACCAAGTTCCATGTATGCACATTTGCAGGGCCGTGGACACAAAGGCGTGCCCACACTCACAGGGAAACACGCTGGGAGACCAACGCCAGTCACCACAGTTGCACATGCAGCTCCACCCCCGCCCCCAACACACACGCACATTCCTCATAGACACAAACATCAAAACACAGGGACAAATCAAGACCCAAACAGACACATCCCACCCAGGTGACTCCTAGTCGTCAACCCAGAGCCTGTCCCCTACCCATATGCACAGACGCAAGCACACACACACACATTCACACATTAGTAATAGATTCCCTAGACACACACTCACAGCCCTCACTGGATTACAAGACTCAAACACAAACACACACATATGCACATGCGTGCAGATCTGTATACATGCACACACACATGCCAGCCCCTCTTCTGAGTCCCCCATCCATCTCCCTACCTTGGCCAGCGCCTAGGGCAGGCAGGACAATTCTGGAACCACAGGGATGCTATGACCCATCACCCACCGGAAGGATGCATATCTGCCCCCAAGGACAAAGCTCTGTCTTAGGCTGAGCTTCAGTCCTCCCTCCTGTTCTGCAGAGGTGAAGGTCACTGGCCTCATCCCTTGTGCCACCCCAGCTCCCCTCCCACACATTCTGTGCCTAACGGCACTTCTCCAGAACCTTTGAAAAGGGCTTTGTCTGTGACAGGGAAGATGATGGTTACATCTCAGGAATCACCTCCCAGGAGGGAAGCAGTGTGAGTCTTAGAGGGTGGGAGAGGAGGGTGGGGTTTGACGTGTTAAGAGGTCCTGTCTTGAGGCAGGGGACAGCCGAGGTGACTGCCTGATGCCCAGGAGGCCACCCTTCACCTACTGTGATTCCCAGAGGGCCCTCCCTCCAAACCTTCACACCTGCTGTTTCCTCTACCTTGAAAACCACGATCCCACGGCAGGGCCACCTTCCTGCTCATCAGGTCTCCATGGAGATGCTCCTGTTCCAGGAAGCCTGTCCTGATGCTCTGGCTGAGTTGATCTGCCCTTCTGTGCCCGACAGCTCCCTAGGCCCCCCTGGCGCTCCCCTCACACCAGAGGTTAACTGTCTGGCTCTGCACCTGCCTCCCTGCAGCCGCCAGAGAGAGCCAGGGGGGCAGGGAGGGCAAGGGAGGCCGGTAGATCTGAGAGGAGCCTGGGCTTGAATCCCAGCTCTGCCTCTGCCGTGTGACCTTGGGCAAGTCACCACCCCATGTGAGTCCAGTGTCTTCATCTGTAAAGCGGAGACAATAACTACCTTACCATTGTGGAGATGAAATGAGACCATGCATCGCGTGCACTGTACCAGTGGCAGCTGTATTATTATAGCTCATTGCCTGACGCCCGGCTTAATAAGTAGTATTTGTTGAATTAATGACACACCCCCCTTCCACCTCGCGTCCTTGTCTTTGGAGGGGGAAAGTAGTATGAACAAAAAGGATTCAAGGCAGATAGAATCGAGGGCCGGGAGATGGGCGAGCAGGGCTTTCTGGCATCGCTGGGAGCTGGCTGTTCCAGCAGCATCCGGAGCTTGGCTGCAGGCGGTGCAAGCGTCCTCCCTCACACCGCTGTGACCCACCTGTGCCATCGTCCTCGTCAGCTAGGTGAGGCAGCGAGGGGGGTGGGGCTGGGTTCCGTCTCTGCACTGTGGGCCCCCGAAGCTGCCCCGGGCCCGCGGGCACACACTAGGTGCGCCCCGAGCGCGGAGTGGCCAGGGGCACGAATGTTGAATGGAGGCGGACGGTATGAATGAGAGCAAGGGCGCACGAATGGATGGACGCGTGAAGTGGGCGGCGAGAAGGAACCAGCGTCTCCCTCCGCCCTCTGGGTCTCGGGGCTGGGACGCACCGCGCGGAGACCTCCGGGGGCTTCCTCCCCGCGCGGCCCCTCCCGCCTGCCCCCTCCCCGCGGCGCGCAGCCCGGCGGAGCCCGCGCACAGCACAGCCCGCCCTGGAGCCGGGCCGGCGCCCGGCCTCGCGAGCCGAGGCAGCGCAGCCTCGGGAGGGGGCTGCCCGGGCCCCCTCCCCCAGCCCCGGTCCCCCTGCAGGAAGGCGGAGTGCGGGGTGCAAGGTCAGGGGACCAGCAGACGAGAACGCCTGGGTCCCGGAGCCAACAGGTGCGGGGCATGGGGGACCCCCAGGCCCAGGATGAGGGTTCCAAAAGATGTGCGGCGAGGGATGCGGGCAGCCAAGAGTCTCCGGGGTAACCTGGGTGCTGTGAGACTGGGTTCCCAGCCGGCTCTGCCCTCCTCCGGGCAGATTCCTGCGGAACCCCTGACATCCTCTTCCCCACGCCCCCGGAGCCCCCCGCAGTCCCCGAGGTGCAGGGAGGTCCCACTGAGGGAGCAGGTCCGCCGGCGCTCGGTGGGGTACAAAGAAGTCCCCTGTCCCTGCCCCAGGGGTCTCCAGGGACCGGCAACCCTCCCGCACACGTCTGGGGTCGTCGCAGCAGAGCGAGGCAGGGAGGGGTCTGCGGGCGGGAGGAGGGAGGGGCGGGGAGCGAGGCCGGATTTATGAATGGAGCCCGGCCTGCGCGCCGGCCCAGCGACTCCTGGCGGCCGCCGGGAGCATCGCGGCCCGGGCGACTCCAGGGGGGCCTGGCAGGGGGCCTGAGGGCCGGGGCTGCTGGGCCTGGGCTGTTTCCTAGTTCTCAAGGAGGTCGTCAGTTCCTTCCCACACCGCCGTCCCCCGATCCCGGCTGTGCATGTGTGTGTATGTGTGTGTGCGCGCGCGCCCACCGGGGAGGGTCTGGCGGGTCTGGTGGGAGGGGCCTGGGTCTCTAACACCTCCCTGGACCCCTTTTTTCCAACCAAAAATTAAGGCCTGTGAACTAGCTCACGAGAGAATATTTGCAATCGGAATGGCTTCCCCTCCCACATCTGTGGTGTTTGGTGGGTTCAAGTAGACCTGGCTTAGCAGCTTTGTGACCCTGAGCTAAGGGTGCAACCTCTCTGAGCTTCCGTCTCATCTGCAAAGCAGGGCTCCCTAATCATGGTAACCAGCAGTCCGCGAAGCCTCCTTCCCGCGCCAGGGTCCTGGTGACGCGCATTCGAGCTTGGGACTCCTCGCCACGGCCCTGCGAGGTAGGTACGGTTACTGCTCCGGGGACAGATGGGACAACTAAGGAGGAAAGAAACGAGGGACGTACCCAAGGGCAACCTGTGTGGAGCCGGGATGCAACCCAGGTCTTGCTCCAATGATGTCACGACAGTGAGAATTAAGAGGGAGCTTATATGCAAATGCCTGGCACACTCCCTAACGCGTCCTTCCTTCTTTCCTTCCTTCCCCCACCCTTCCCTCCCTCCCTTCCTTCCTTCAGGAACTTTGGGTCTAAGACCCCACAGACCTGGGTGCAAGGCTCCGGGCCCCCGAGGGTAGCAGACTGAGGGCTGGCCCGGGATGCCCCTCAGCTGCCCCGGCTCCTGAGCTCATGGAGCCCTCGGCCACCGCAGAGGCCCAGATGGGGGTCCCCACTGCCAGCAGGGAACCGTCCCCGGTGCCTCCGGACTATGAAGATGAGTTTCTTCGCTATCTGTGGCGTGATTATCTGTACCCGAAGCCGTACGAGTGGGTCCTCATCGCAGCCTACGTGGCTGTGTTCCTCGTGGCCCTGGTGGGCAACACGCTCGGTGGGTCTAGGTCTTGCTCTGTGGTGCTGCAGACTGGAAGGGGTCCTGGGCCTTGCCTGCGCCCACCCCCGCCAGCCCTTACCTCCAATTCCAGGGGTAGTGGGAGGGGAGGGGGCTCGCTGATGGGGCGGAGCTAGGGTGGGCGTGGCCCGGCCACCCGCTTCACCTCACCCAGCCCCCACCCTGCAGTCTGCCTGGCTGTGTGGCGGAACCACCACATGAGGACAGTCACCAACTACTTCATCGTCAACCTGTCCCTGGCTGACGTGCTGGTGACAGCCATCTGCCTGCCAGCCAGCCTGCTAGTGGACATCACTGAGTCCTGGCTCTTTGGCCATGCCCTCTGCAAGGTCATCCCCTACCTACAGGTGAGCTCTGCCCCACCACCCTTCCCCACCCCCTGTCACACCTGTACAAACCTTATGGCCTTACAGAGGTCTCAGTGACCCTCAGACTTGCCTTCCAGACAGGTCACTGGCTCAAGACCCCTTCAGTGTCATTCTCTAGTGCTAGCAAGGGTGGGCCACCAGGTCAGACACTCAGGACACAGACACAGCCCCACATACTCATACAGAGATCCCCTCCTGGTCACACCCACAGACATATACATGGACACGTGGACGCATATAGTCACCTCCATGTACATGGGCACACAATAGAGGAGAGGGGCACAAGCCCACAGTGACATGTACACATGCGGGGCCTGCTCCCTTATCCCAAGAGGGGCAGATTTGGGGGGGCCTGGTAGAAACAGCCTGCTCCCCTCCCTCCACCGCTGGCCAGGGTCCTCCCTCCCCCAGGGGTAGGAACCAGGATGTCCAGATGGGCTAGTGGGCTGGAAGGAGGGCTGGCCAGAGGCCAGTGTTTACTCTCCATTGTACCCTTCCACCCCCTCCCTGCACCCCAGAGAGCAGGGGCACCACTGGAGACAGTGCCCACGCACACTTCTGGCTCAGAGTCATCTCTGCCTCCCAAAGTGAGGACTCCTTTTCCCAACAGCTTTTCCTAACAGCCCGGGGAAGGGATGGCATCCCAGGGCAGACAGAAATGCCTCTTGGACTTCCTACTATTTTGAGATTTTCTACTCACCTGATTAACTCTGCTGACCCTGAGCATGGGGGTTACAGACAGGTGAGGTCCGCGCCTCACCTACACGGGGTAATAGCCCCCACCTTGTAGGGTTGTTGTAAGGATAATGAGAACAGTGCCTGGCACACAGTAAGCTCCATAAGTGTGCGTTATTATTCATAGTACGGGGCACCTACTATGTACCAGGCCTGGAGCTGGGTGTTCTCCATATGTGATTTCACTTGCTCTCCTAAGAATCCTGCCAGGGAGATGGTACATTCCTGTTCTGCAGATGAGGCTCAGAGAGGGTGAGTGATTTGCCAGTAAGTGGTGGAGTCAGGATTTGCACCGCACCTGGCTCCCCAGTATCTCTGGGCTGTGAGCCCTGTCACTCACCCACCCCCACGTCTCTGAGTGGCCCCCAAAGGGACTGATGTTGTGTCCCCACGGGGCAGGCCGTGTCCGTGTCCGTGGCAGTGCTGACTCTCAGCTTCATCGCCCTGGACCGCTGGTATGCCATCTGCCACCCACTGTTGTTCAAGAGCACAGCCCGGCGTGCCCGTGGCTCCATCCTGGGCATCTGGGCTGTGTCGCTGGCTGTCATGGTGCCCCAGGCTGCTGTCATGGAATGCAGCAGTGTCCTGCCTGAGCTAGCCAACCGCACACGGCTCTTCTCTGTCTGCGACGAGCGCTGGGCAGGTAACGGTGGAGCCTTGGGCAGGCATCCCTAGGGTGGGCGACTCTGGGACGCATACCCCTAGGGCAGGTGCCTATCAGGGGCACTTCCAGGGTGGGTATCTCCCTAGAGGACACTGGACATCTACCAGGGATACTCCCAGCATGGATGTCTCCTCCAGTGTAGATATCTGCTAGGGGTCCTTCCAGGATGGATACCCCCAGGTTAGGCAACTCCAAGGTCTCTATCTACCTTGATGCCTGTATGGGGTCCAGCTGCCCCTAGGCCTTGCTTTGGCCCTACTTGGGACAGGGTGACAATGCTAACCAGGGCAGGCTGGGGCTTGCAGAGGGGCCTGATGCTTGCTTCTCTTGGCCTTGCAGATGACCTCTACCCCAAGATCTACCATAGCTGCTTCTTCATTGTGACATACCTTGCCCCGCTTGGCCTCATGGCAGTGGCCTATTTCCAGATCTTCCGTAAGCTCTGGGGCCGCCAGGTGAGGCCCACTCCGGTGTCACTGTCTGGGCTAGGAGGGGGCAGGGCTGCTGGTCTAAGGGAGTGTTCTGCCTTCAGAACCTGCCATCCTGGCTGCAACCAGAGAGAGACAGACCCCAGAGACACGTTGAACTCAAGGCCGAAAGTGCTAGTGGCTCCCTGGAATGACAGAGTAACTCACGTCCTGCTACGATTAGCAGCGGCCATTTACTGCGCCACTCACACCCAGCTGGTCTTGTATCCTCTTAGCCACCACATATTAGTATCGTCCCCCACTTACATATGACAAAACTGAGACCCAGAAACTTTCCCAGATCACTCAGTTAGTGGGTAGCAGATCAGGGACTAAAACCCAGATCTGTGGGATTCCAATGCTCAGTTTACACAATAATAATAGCAACTCCGTGTTACTTGCCAAATTAGGCAGTTTGCATTGATGTCTTAACAACTATCTAACAAAAGAAGCAATTTTATCAACTTCACTAATGCCTGATAAGGGCAACAAACTTGCCAGAGCCAGTGAGTGGCAGAGCCCTTCTGGTTCCGGGCCTGCCTCCTTTCCTCCTTACCGACTGACCCACAGTGCATTTTGCAGGGTTTCGTGGGGGCGGGGTGCTCACGGGCCCTTGGCACTAGCCGAAGCGAGTCCTGGGTCGGTGCCTGGGCAGGGGGAGGATGCAGGCCAGAACACGGGCAGGCCGGGGAAGGAACGTTCACACGCATTCCACATCACCTACACCCCGCAGACGGTTCTGCCTCACGCCCGGGCCATGCAGGGCGGTGGGTGGGGAGAGGACTGGCTCAGACCCAGGCCCTGCCTTGGAGGAGCGCCCAGTCCAGCAGGGCCCTTCCTGGCTGGCCAGCCTTGCAGTCCACCAATACTTGCCATCTGCTCCTCACAGACCCCCGACAAGCGGGGCACAGGCACTATCCAGACGGGAAACCGAGGCTTAGAAAGGAAAGGAAGTTGGCTGGTGAATGTCTGAGCTGGCCCTGGACCCGAAGTTTCCTGAACTCTAGCCCCACGCCCCTCTGCTGTAGGGTGATGTGGGGGTCCAGTGGTGGGAGAGGCTTTGAGGATGTCTGCACTGCTCCAGGAGCCCAGAACCACCCCAGGCTTATGGGCATTGACCCAGGTGGGGACCCGTGCTCTGAGGGTCAGGCCATTCCATGTTGCCCACCTGCCCACCCCTCCTTGCCCAGGCCTCCCCCAGTGTGGCATGAGCCAGGGGAGGCCCAACTCACCCCCATCCCCAACCCTACGCCCAAAGGTGGAGCTAGAGGTTTGAGGGGGATGGATGGGCAGCTGTGAGGATGTTCAGACCCTGGGTTGTGGCCTGAGGCCCTATCAAGAGTCCCCCACCTCTCTGAGTCTCAGTTGCCTCATCTATAACTAAGGGCCAAAATTCCTTTCCAAAGGCATGTTGTAGGAGGTTGCACCATGAGCTCATGGAAAATGAAAGTGCGCTGTTCACTCTCGAGTCTGGAGTGTCAGTCTTTATCGTAAATATTAGGTCCCTTGCTATTGCAAGGTTCTGTTCCCTTTGCCCAGCTCCACCCTGCCCCAGTGTCCAGCCCAGAGTGGGCCAGCCAAAGACAGCAACCCTCCCAAGGGCCATACCCACCGCTGCTGTCGTGTGTGCTGGACAGATCCCCGGCACCACCTCGGCCCTGGTGCGGAACTGGAAGCGGCCCTCAGAGCTGGAGGACCAGGGGCAGGGCCCGAGCACAGAGCCCCAGCCCCGGGCCCGCGCCTTCCTGGCCGAGGTGAAGCAGATGCGAGCGCGGAGGAAGACGGCCAAGATGCTGATGGTGGTGCTGCTGGTCTTCGCCCTCTGCTACCTGCCCATCAGTGTCCTCAACGTCCTCAAGAGGTGAGAGCGCCGGGCGGGTGGTCAGGGGTAGGGAGAAGTTTTGGGGTCAGAGGAAGGGGCTCTCCTTGCTTTGGGGAAAGACCTGGCTCTGCCACGTCTCCACTGTGTGATCCTGGGGGGCAGGTCATTTCTCTTCTCTGAGCCTCAATCTCTTCATTCACAAAATGAATGGAAATTCACACATGCATTCACTCAATCCTCAGATTTTAGGGGCCTGGAAATACAATGAACAAGTGCACAAGACGGACAAGACCCTGCCTGCATGGAGGCTACAGTCTAGTGGGAGAGAAGGGAAGTCAATAGAAAAATCCGTGTACAGGAGGATGTCAGGCAGTAATAATTGCTATGAAGAAAAATAAAACAGGGAAAGACGGTGGAGAGTGACATGACAGAGGCTGGTGCGGTTTGGAGTTTTGTTTTAGATGTAATGATTTTTTTAACAAAAGCCCACTCTGAGGAAATAACATTTGAGCAGACTTGAAGGAAGTGGGAGAGAGAGCCACGCAGGTATCTGCAGGGACTCCAGGCGGAGAGACACCGGGACACAGCAAATGAGTGTCACAGGGTGCCAGGGAAAGAACATGGCCTATTGGACAGGAGATAATCTCACCTGGCCTTTGTGCTCGGCTAGTTCCTGGCTATGTGATTTGGGGCATGTCACTTTACTTCTCTGAGCCTCAAGTTTCCCTAACTGAAAAATGCTGTGAGGATGGATGAGAAGTGGCTGGGGAGCCCCAGGGGATCAGATAGCCAGTGACTGAGCAGATATACCCTGGTGCCTGTCCCCAGGCCCACTGTGGTCACACGCTCTGTGCTCCAGGCCCCCAAAACTGGTGGAGATCTCAGATCCAGAGGCCCAGGCAAGGGCCACCTGGCGCATGGAAGGGTGCAGTGGGAACTCCTGTACTTTACGGCTTTAGTTCTACGAGCAGCACCCTCCCAATACACACACACACAGCTACCCCATTTCTGACTGTTGTCCACCCCGGTCCTAGGGTGTTCGGGATGTTCCGCCAAGCCAGCGACCGAGAAGCCGTCTATGCCTGCTTCACCTTCTCCCACTGGCTGGTGTACGCCAACAGTGCCGCCAACCCCATCATCTACAACTTCCTCAGTGGTGAGTGGGCTGGCGAGGCAGTGACTGAGGGTGGCCAACAGTCCCCGGGACAGGTCTCCCCATCCCCAACCCAGGGCCCAAATAAAAGATGGGAGGTGAGGTGTACCTGCTGTCTCCCGGCATTGTGACTCTGCTCCGGGAGCCCTCACTCAGAGCAGCCCTGGTCCGAGTGGGAGATAGGCCACGCTCCCAGCAGCGGCCAGCACCCAGGATCTAGTTTGGCAGATTCTGCAGACCAGTGAATGAGTGGAAGGGCACGGGCTAGGCCAGCTGCCTCCCCTCGCACTCGGGTGCAGGCACAGCAGGACCTCCGATCGGCCCCTCTCTGGCTGGCATGGGCGGGCGGAGGAGCCCATCTTCCCCAGAGGGAGCCCGACCTGTGTGAAGAGGGCCCGGGGGCCCCTGCCTGAGGGGATGATTGCGCAACCCTGGTAAGGGAGGGTCACCGGCAGAGACAGCCCAGGCCTGGGAATGGGCTTCCCCTGCCCAGCTAGACACACGCTGGCAGTGGCCAGAATCTTGGGGGCTGTCCTTGGAACCACCTGCCTCCAGCACCAGCCCTCCCACTCTCCCCTCTGTAAGTCCTGGTCCCCTAGCCCCCCACTCCCACTCCGGGCCTCCTCTCTCTGCTGTGCCAGAGTTCTCATCCCTTCCAGTCTCACGGGGGTAACGGCCCAGCACCCCACCGACACACACACACACCCTGCCCCCCCAGGTTGGCTCAGCTCAGCAGAAGTGTGACTCACCAGGCCTCTGACTTTGGGACTAGGCTTCTAAAGGACTGGTCCAGCTGACTGTTCAAGCCTGGACACAAATAATCTTTGAGAAATTGTTAAAAGGTTAAAGAAGGGATTGGGGTCAACAGTATAACCCTCACTGAGACTCAAGAATTACTCAGCAAAGGCTGCCTGCTGGTTTCCAGCTCAAAAGAGAGAGCAGGGGAGGGGAGGGCAGCAGACGCACTGATGCACAAGCCCTTGTCTGGCCTACACTTGCTGAGGACCCACTGTGCGCTTGCCCGTGCTGGCCAAGGAGAGGCTGGCAGGCTGATGACACACAATCACGGCGGTTTCAGTTCCAGACAAAATCTGTTTCCCTGGGATATGTGGGCTGAACCGGTGGTGTAGTGGCCCCTCCTTCCCCACTCAGTCCTCTCCTTTAAAAGGGCTTTGGAATTAGTTAGAACCAGGTTTGGCTCCTGGCTGGGTGGCCTTGGGCAAGCTACTGTAACTCTATGCGGTCTCATCTGTGAAGTGAAGATAAAAGACTGGGACCTGTCGGGGTGCTGGGATGCTCTAGGGGACAGAGGCTGAGATACCCGGCACAGTGCCTGGCACAGTGTGACTGCCATATGCAAGGGTGGCAGCTGCTGTCATTTTCATCATCATAGGGCAGAGATGGGAAAAGCCTAGCAACAGCTAGCGGGCCCTGATCCCTCTCCATGTACACATCAAGGAGGGCAGAGGTGACCCGAGGCCCCTGAGCCAGACACCACGTTTTGAGCCAGGCTCTGAGCCAGAGCGCAGTCAAGGAATCAGATGACAATTGCATTTCTCCTCGGGAAACTCTGTCCTCACTCTCCCTGGCAGAGGTTGCCTCGGGGCTCTCCATCTCAGCTCTACCCCTCCCTCTCTGCCCTCTCTCAGGCAGCTTGGCTGGAGCTGCGTGGGTGGCCCTGGGCTCAAGGCCCTTTCCTGCTGCATTTGTCTCCTTATGGCTGTGTCTTTTGTCTCCCAACCAAGGCAAATTTCGGGAGCAGTTTAAGGCTGGCTTTTCCTGCTGCCTGCCTGGCCTGGGTCCCTGCGGCTCTCTGAAGGCCCCCAGTCCCGGCTCCTCTGCCTGCCACAAGTCCTTGTCCTTGCAGAGCCGGTGCTCCGTCTCCAAAGTCTCTGAGCACGTGGTACTCACCAGCGTTACCACGGTGCTGCCCTGAGTGAGGGCTGCCTTGGAGGCTCCAGCTCTGGGGGTGCAACCTGTTCCCTTCCTGGGCTGCTCTCTGGCTCCTGGGGGATCCACTCATACCCCTCAAGGAAAGACTGCTGGATGCGGTGAGAGGCTGGGGCTCCAGTGCTGGTTTTCTGCCTGTGTGACTCTGGGCAAATCACTTCCCCTCTCTGAGCTCGTGTCCCCTAAGCAGGGTTGATGTGAGGATTAAGCATGCTCAAGAAAGTGGAAAGTTCTCTGTAAACTGTGAAGTGTTGTGAATGTGATTATTATACTTCTCTCACTTGGCCATACCCCATGGTACAATCCATCCCCATCATCCTTCCGGAGCTGGGCCTTCCTCCCAGAGACCCCTCTCCTACCCAATTACAGGCCTTCCTTGGGGTCTGCTCTAAAAATCTCAACAGGTATTTCCATCTGGTCCAGTGGCTCCCTAAAGCCCAGGGCTGCACTTGGCCAGCTGCTCAGATGCTTGTGTGAACTAATCCGGCCCAGCCCTTCTCCAGAGAGCCACGGGCACAGTCCCGCCCTCGCCAGGTGCCGAGTGCACACACCACAGCCTGGACCTCGTTGGCTTTGTGGTGTGATAAAACTCTCTCCATGGCCATTTGGCACGGAGGCCAGCAGCCCGAAGCAATTGTAATTAAAAGCCTGGCACTGAACGTTCCCTTCCTTGTCATTGCACGAAATCTGTGCTGCTTAGGTTAGGAGCAGAGGAAGGTGGGGAAGCTGGGGGGAGGGGAGAAGGCAAGAAGGCACTGGAATGCTATTATTTGCTGACCTCCCACCGGCACCTCCACCCCACCTGATCCCAGATGGACTCACAGCCAGGCCTCAGAGCACACACGGTGCTGCCTCCTCAGGCAGTGCCAATCACGTGACGCCCAGGAACTCGATCCTTGACACATCTGTCTGCTCACAGGCCCAGTGGCCTGTGGAAGGTGGGAGGTGGCGGATAGGGTGGGCAGACAGCAGGTTGACAGACTGATTTACTGTTATCTTCACCTTCTTGGAAATCAGGCCTTGCATCTATTTCTATGAATTCAGAGGATAAAAAGAGAAAGCCACAGACTTGGCCAGACGTGCTCCGTCTGCCACCAAGATGATTATGGGGCTGCCAAAGGCCCTGATCCTCATTGCCAGAGCAGGACGTGGAGCACAGGCTGAAGTGCTACTCTGCTGAGAGGAACGGAGACAGCTGGCAGGGCCAACTCAGCTGTGCCCACCACCAGGCCTACTTAACTTGATTAATGGAGCTGCAGGCCCCCTCTGACCTCACCCGTCAAGAAGCGGGGCAGAGCCATGGTGCTGCCAGGCGCCCAGCCCAGGAGTGCTTCAGCACCGCTCCTCTGAGGCGCCCTGCTTTACCCAGAGCAGGTGGAAGGTGTGGTCTCAGTATGTCACCCGCTCTCCGGATGACTCACCAGCCCAGCTCTCTGTGGATGGTGTGGCTGCTGCCAGGAGGGCTGAGCTGTCCTGCCCATTCCACACTCGCCCTGGCCTTAGGTCCAAAGCTGTTGGCACAGTCGTAGACAGGCCTTGGAGATGCAGTGTGCAGAATGAGGTGTTGAGGGCTGGCCCCCAAGCTCAGAACCAACCGTGCCCACAAGATCAACCCAGGTCTTGGGCTCCTCAGCCCCAGCTGAGCACAAAGGTGAGCGGCTCCGACTGGCACCATTGGGTTTCAGCAGACACTTGGCTCAGGAGGAACAAAGAAACAACAGGATCTTCTTCTAATGGCTGTAGTTGTACTCTACTTCCTGCTGGCTGAACCCAGCACCACGGTAGGCCTTCAACCTCCACTGCAGGGGACTCTGATGAAATGGAGAAAATTCAGGGGAGGTGACTGGGATGCCAAGGGGAGTGATGCTCACCCAGTGAGGGGTTGCTGAAGAGCTGGGGGCTATCTGCCTAGGGAGGGGAGGACTTGGGGGAATGAGGGTTGGCAAGCAGTAAGGGTGATGTAAGTCCTGGGTGGCCCAAGAGAGAAAACCAGAGCCAATGGGCAGTGTCTCCAAGATGGCAGGATTTAGAATTCACATCAAAAGTTTCTATCAGTCACGGAGGAAACAGGCTACATTCTTTGTCACTGGAGGCTGGCAAGCAGAGGCCAGACTCACAGGGGGGCCATGGAGGGGATTCTAGCTCTAGATGGGGGCTGGCCCCTGGGAACCGGACTCCATCAGATTCTGGGATTCTAGCACTACAGCAGCCCAGAGGAGAATGGGGCTGAACTGGCCGAGCCCGACATGCCTGCTGGGCCTCACTGACCTGCAAAACAGTCATAGCTACTTCCTCAACCACCCACTGCAGGGAGGAGAGCCCTACTTAGGGCTACAGAGCTCTTATCTTCATCTCAAAAAGCCAAAGGATAATCACACATTACCCATGATAAAGCCCCTGGAAAACTAGAATGTCTGGTGTCTTTGGCTTTTGATTGAAATTTTGTCAGCTCATTATAGACACTCAGTGTAGACTGGATATCATGCTGATCTAAAGATCCGACTGGCAAGTACAGATGTCTGTGCTTAATAAAAATGGGGGAAAACTTATGACTTAATAAATGGAGTTTGTCTGGAAGATAAAACTAGGTCCTGAGACAATAAAAAGGCCATGCTGTGAAAAGTTTGGGGTGGCTGCTTCCAGCCCAGAATGCCAGCCCTAAGACTGCTATTGAACAGTCGCTTACTGAGCTGACTCCAGGCCACACTGAACTGAACCAGCGGGACTCACACCAGCTGCCCTACACTTCAGCTTCACCCTGGCAAATGAGAGAAGCCACATATAGGCCACATCCCCTCCCCGAGCTGCTGCTTTCTGCATAGGCTGGTGTATAGTATGTATTTAACATTCACTGAGTGAAAGAATAAACGAGTGAATGAATGGATAAAGCTGGAGCTGGGAAGTCATGGTGGAAAACATGGACCTCCAGAGTTTCATCCTTTTATTGAAGCTTACAATTTCAATGGACTTTTGGCCCCAAATGAAAAAACCAGAATTTAAAAAAAAAAAAAAAGCATTGGCAGGGGGAGGTGACAACTGTCCCCTGGGGACTGAAGCCGAGCAGAGCATGGCAGGCAAGTGAGCGGTCCAAGCTGCAAAGACAGTAGCCCGGCCACAGATGTCCAGGGAGCAGACTGTCTGAGCTCCCTGCGCAGGGAGAGACCCCAGGCAGCTAGAAGTTAACACACAAGGACTTGTGGGTGTGGCAGAATCCAGGCTGCTGGTCCCACGGGCAAATCTCTCACGCTGGTCAGATTCTACTTTAGAGAAAATGGGCTCATCTGACAGGACAGCCTGGGTGAGGGAACACAGGTGCCAATGGTAACAAGACGATGAACACTTACCACTGGTGTCAGGGCAGAGAGGGGAAAGCTAGAGGCGGGAGCCCAGCTGACCAGACACTAACTCCATTACAAGGACCGAGATCTCCTGCTCCTGCTGCAAGGCTGCGCCATTCAACTTCCAGTCCTCTCCTAGGTCAGGCCCCTCACTATCTGGTGGCTTTGATACAGGATTACCAACCCTCTTTGGGAACACTGCTGCATCAAGCAAGGGAGAATCTTTTCTTAGAAGGGGGAGGAAAAGAAGAGAAGTCCATATGCTACTCCCACCATAAGGAGCCAGGAAAGGTCCCTTGTGCACTCCGCTCTCTGCAGATGGGCTGGGTCATAGCATCCGGGAAGCTGTCATAGTGACGAAGTCCTCAAAGCTGAGCCGAATGTTGCCTTGCACAGCTGTGTCCTTCTCCCGGAAGGCCTCCGTCAGCACCTGCAGCTGGGTGCACACCTGGATGAAGCGGTCGAGCTGCATGGCAGGATTGGCAGAGCGCGGGCAGTAGCGGGAAACCAGGAGCTGGGTGAACTGGGGGCTCAGGTTGTAGCCCATTTGGGACAGAGCTGGAGAGGAGGGGCATACAGAGGAGACACACAGAAACCTGCCATGAGCACCTCCATTGGCCAGCAACGCCAGAGCACAGCAATTGAGGGGACTTTGAGGGGATGTGCCCAGGAGCATAAAGAGGTCAGAGAAGTCCCAAGGGTCTGTCCAAGATGTCAGAAGCGCAACAGGGGCTCCGTCTGGATGCTCCTCATAGCTGGAAGGCCTCCATCCTTCTTTCTCCAAATCTCCATTATTGTCTGTTCAACTGGGGCTCATGGGATCCCAGAGATGACAACGGTCTATCCGTGATCATCTCTGACTCATCTGCACTCCAAAAGGGAGCCTAAACCCCCTAGGACCACCTTGCCTAGAGCAGGTATCAGAGGCAGCACAGCAGGGAAGTTATGAGGACCTGCTCTGGAGTCAGACAGACCCTGGGCAAGTTGCTGAGCCTCACTAGCCCTCTGTCTTAGCACCTCTAAAATGGGGATGATACTTAACTTGTAGGTTCTAGTAAGGATTAAAGGAGGTGATCATGTAAAGCACTTAGCACAGTGCCTGGCACATAAAGCACTCAGTAAGGGTTATTTTAACGAAGTCACCATCACTTCCCCAGACAAAGTTGCTGGGCAGTTCCAACGTCACAGCCTACGTGCTGCTCCCATCCCCCACTGGGATGCTTCCTTCCTTCTCTGCATAACTTACCAGCCCACGCTAAAATCTCAGCTCTCCACTGGCTATGTGGGCCCCTGGGCAAGTTTACTACACTAAACCTCAGTTTTCTCATCTGTTAAAGGGAGATAATGAGGGGTGCGGATCAATGGGTGCTGATTGATAAATAGTAGCTAGTACATGGGAAGAATGAACTATATAAACCTATTAAGAACACGTATTACAGTGCCTACGACACAGCAAGCATTCAATAAAAATCAGTTTTGCTGCTGTTAGTATCACCCTGACCAATAAGCATGACAGAAACTGGCAAAAGAGAAGGTGATCAATACAGATCAACTCTCCCTTCTGCCAGGGGGCAGGTGTGGTGCACTCACCGCACCCACCGACCTTTCCTGTCTGATTGAAATCCACAGACAAGGCAAGGGACTGGACTCTCTGGGGAGCCCTCTCCCCCTCCTGGGTGGCAACCTCGTACAACCTCCCTTCGTACAACCTCACTAGCCACCCATCCTTTTTCACTGGCTGACCTGAGCTCTGGCTGCAGGCTCCAGCCCCACAGAGACAGACTGGAACCAGACCTGGGGCTGTGGCCTCAGGTCATCTTCCATAGCTGCAACTTCTAGAGTCCTTGAGGTCCCAGAGCTGGGAATGAAACTGCCTTCCAGCAGAGGTGGCAAGAGAACCCATCTTTCTGAGCCCATGTGGAGCTCTTTCTATTCTGCATGCTAGAAACTAGAGAGGAAAGAGCCATCCAAGACACACACACGGGTCTCAAAGTGCCCTAAGGCGCTGAGTTTCCACCCATAAGGGTCCCTGCGGGCTGAGGCTGTCTCACCCAGCACTGCCAGGAGTCCTGTCACCAGGGAGTCCAGCCCTGATTCTGGACCCGGTGTTTCCTTGCCCTGGATCATGACTTAGTGCCCCAGCCAGGTCACAGAAGGGGTGGGGGGAGTAGGCCTGCACGAAGGACAACATTTGGTAGCACAGGTGGACCTCTGGTGGTGAGAGGAAAACCCCTTTTTCTGTCTCAGGAAGTAAAGAGAAGAGTTTGGTCTACCCTGCCCACTGAGCCCCTGCCATGGCCCTCACCTTGCTGCAGCTCCGTGTAGCTAATGGAGCCCGAGTGGTCCCGGTCATACTGCTGGAAGAGGTTCTTCCACTGCTGGATGAATTTCCACAGGGCCGAGAAACCGTAGATGTCAATGCGGCCTGACTTGGTCTTATCAAACATGTCTGAGGGGGAGGAGGGAAAGGAGAGGAGGAAGGCTTCAAACTGAGGGCTAAGGGTCCTGGGCACCACTGAGGTAGGCTTCTCCCCAGGCTGCAGTAGGAGATTCTATAGAACCACAGGCCTGAAGCCCAGATGCCCGCACCCAAAGACACCTGCATCAGTGTTGCACCAGCCTCCTGCCCTGGCCATCCTCAGTCAGAACCGCATTTTCTCTGCAGCCTTCGCAGCTGACCCCTCCCTGCTGTTTCCCACCAGGGGAGGGAGTCCCATTGGAAACTGAGTTAGCCTGTAACTCAGCAGGGTCTAGAACTTAAGAAAGATCTAAGGGAAAGAGCTCTCAGTCTAAGGGATCTCACCTTGAACCCAGCTTCCTCCCTGAAATCCTCCCTAGCCAAAGGATTTCTCCTGAGAATGGCTGCTCACCCACCTCCTGTCAACCGTCAGGTGGCTCTGCCCCAGCTCAGGCCCACAGGGAAGGAACTCACTTATCATCATGAGGCATGTCTCGTCATTGAACGAGGACCAGTTGGAGTTGACCAGAGCCTGCTTCAGCTCCTTGATGGAGATGTAGCCACTGTGGTCGGAGTCCACCGACTGGAACCAGGAGTAGGCCTCGGGATCCACGTTGGGGGGGACGCCACCTGGAGGAAGGGTGTGAACCAAGGAAGTCAGGCCCAGGTCTCAAGGCCAATTGGCAAAAATGCTGGGAAGGGCCAGCCTCGGTGCCTCCCTGGCTACAGGTTTTCCCCACACACAAAGCCTCACAAATTCACCCACCACCAGCCTTCCATCAAGCTGACATCCTCAGGCTAATGCAAGAGGGCCACTGGTATAGACTCACGAGTACCTGCAGTTGATTTCTACTCCATGAGCTCTTTGGGCTTTTCATATAGTGCTTTAGTCACCTCTCTGTTTGATTTTATGTTTCTAAAGAATAGGAAGGGGCCTGTACCCCTCCAGTATATCAAGAATTCTCTGGAAAAGGTGAGCTGGGAGTGGGTGGTTGATGAAAACAGAGAAGCAGAAAAGTCTATCTTAGGATGCTGAGTTAACTGGCCACAAAAGGGGCTCCTTCACACAAGAAAGTATCAGAGACAGCCACAAGCAGTTGTGGAGGACAGAAACCACACTGCCCAGTCCTGAAGCCCAGTGAGGCCAGAGGGAAAAAGACTTGCCCGACTGAGGGACTAGTCTGATCTCTTTGCATGGGAAATCCAGGCAGGTTCCACCTACCTTCCTAAAACAGCAGTGTCCTCCCCAGCAGGAGAGTTTCTGTAACAGTGTGGTCTGTGTGGCTTGTACAGAACTCAGGCTTTGGAATCAAAGCAGACCTGGATTCAAATCCTTGCTCTCTGATACTTACTAGCTTATGTGACTTTAGGCAAAATGTATAATTTCCTGAGTATTGATGTCCCAATTTCTAAACTGAACCCATTTCCCAGGATTTTTGTGATGATTAAACAAGATAATAGCAAAATAAAGTTCTGAGCAGAGAGCGTGGGAACGTGTGTAGTCTGAGACATTTTACAGAATAAGGGATATTTACACTGGGTTTCTCCCCATGGTAGACTACATTATTACCTGGAATTATCTGCTAATCTCCCTTCCCTGTGAGAGCACTGTGCATCCTCTCCCACTGCCCGGTGGCTTGCAGAGCTCCACGAGAGGAGCATCCATTCCCACCCTACTGATGTCAGGCTTGTCCAGGGGATGTGCCCTGGCCAAAAGAATGTGAGTGCACAAGACATACAGAACTTCAGAGCAGAAACTTTAAGAGGCATTGTGCATTCCTGCTAGCTCTCCTGCTTTTTTCTCTGCCACAAAGATAACATACCCCAAATACGGGCTGCTCCTTCTTCCTGGATCCCAGAATGAGAAGACAAGTGGAACAGAAACTCAGCAGCCAGCCCATAGCTACTGACATGTAAGCAAGAGTAAATAAGCTTGAGCAAGCAATGGAAGTAAGCGCTTGCTGCTGTAAGCCAAGGAGATTTTGGAGTTGTTGTTACCACAGCAAAGCTACCTGACAGACTTCTCACTCTGCAGATGCAAGCTGAAGCTGGAAGCAAGACATTAAGGAGCTAGAGACCAGGGTGCCTGCACACCCATAGGAAGGACAAGGATGGGCTGTGGAGAACTCAGAACCAAGTCAGAGGCACATGGAATCCGAGAATCCCTACTTACCCTGTCCATAAGGCCCGGGCTGCTGGGCACCGTAGGAATTTGGAGGTGGTTGACCATAGGGACCACCTGGGGCCGCACCGCCATATGGTCCTCCAGGACTGGGGTGTCCATAGGGCCCTCCACCGGCTGGTGGTCCATAAGGGCCTCCAGGGGCAGGACCGCCATAACCAGGGGGTAGCCCACTGCCATACTGCCCTCCACCATGGGGAGGTCCAGGGTAGTAGCTACCCGGAGGAGCTCCTGGAGCTTGTCCTGCAGCTCCTGGGCAGCCCTGCAGGAAGAGCAAGACATCAGTCAGAATGATGAGGCCAGAAAGTAGCCACAGTATGGCACTTTACAGCTATAAAGCACTTCCACTGCCATTCTTTCAACTCATCCTATGGTAGGGTTGGAATTACGATCCTATTGCTCAGATGGGCAAACTGAAGCTTCTAGAGGAGCTATGAGTTACCCAAAATCAAGAGCTGCAGAATCAGGGCTGGAATCCTGCCCTCCTGAGTCCCCTTTTCTGCACACCAAGGGGCTCCACAAGGGCTGGGATCATGTCTGGTTTGCCAGTTTATCCCCAGTTCCCAGTGCAGGATGGATGCTCGGTAAATATTTAGTGGATGAATGAGTAGGCAGGTGAATCAAATAGAATTCCAAATGCCCATCCTGAGGTACCCCCATCTCTATCTGCAGAATTTGGAGCACAAATGTGGTCTCCACCCAACATCCCCAACCCTCGCCAGTCACAAATGATGGATCCACAGCATGTCTTCCATACCCTACTGCAGCTCACGAAGCAAAAACATTTCCCTGTCCTCACTCATGATTCTGTGAGGCAGGCAGGGGAGACCCTATCCCTAAGGCAATATGGTACAGTGGTTAAAAAAACCAGTTCAAGTTCAGGTTCCTCCAATTTAACTGGACTAACGACTTTCCCTCTCTAAGACTCAGTATCTTCTGCTGTAAAATGAGAATAATAATAGTGCCTACCTCTCAGGTTGGTATGTGAACAAAATGTGAAGCCTTTTGACACAGAGCCTGGCACAGAGTAAGCACTCAATATATATTAACCATTAATAGCAGCCTCCTACAGAGGATGAAGCTGAAGTCCACAAAAGTCACACAGACTGTGTGGAGGGGCTGGGACCAGAACCCATGTCTCCTCTAAGTCCAGGGCGTTTGCACACTAGAGCACATAGGGGAGCATCCCTCTCTTCTCTACCCCCCCACGCCACCAGCCAGGGACCCCTGAGGCTAAGAGCGTTCCGCTCCATCTCCCCAAATGGCCAGTGCAGGGCCTGGCAGAGCACAGCCCTAACACATCTGCAAGAAGCAGAGCTCAAGGGCACAGAGAGCAGCTGGGCCCAGCTATGAGGAAGGTACCATCTAGACACGTCCTAGCTCAACCTGGAGGCACAGCAGTGGCCTAGCCACTGAGAGTCTGGGCTTTCTCTTTTTGTTGCGTTTGACAGCTTCTGGGACCATCACCCTCAATGTTAAGACCAAATTGATAGTCATCTAAAAGGGGCCTATATGTTCAAGGAAGAGAGGCTTTTTGGGGGAGGGCAGGAGCAGGCCGTGCTACTTCCCTCCCTCAGCATCGTGGAAGCGCTTCCTCACTAGAAGCTGCCGTAGCTATTATAGGAGCTAAAGTCACAGACAGATTTCGATTCAAAGCTCTGTTCTCACCAGCTGAGTTCATGATGGGGCCAGTGGCTCAATCTCTCTGAGTCTGCTCCCTCACGACCAAAATGTAATCATCTCATCCTCACTGGACTGTTCTGCAGATTACGAGAAATAATCTTGCAAAATTCTGTTAGTTTCAATTTTAGCTATAAAATCTTTTGATTAAAAAAAATAAATAAAATTCGTAAAAGAAAGTTGCTCTGGCTGAAGCAAGGTGGAGGTTCCATAGATCCAACCATGAGGGGCCCCCTCCCTTGATAGATTCTGGGGGGGCCTCTGAAGAACCCTCACAATGACTCAAAAGACAGTCTGAAAACCACTAATATAAGATGACTTGTTTTTACAACAGTGCCTGGCATAAAGCAAATGATCAAGAAATCATACATAAAACACAGCTGCTATTGTTATTATTATGTTATTACTGTCAGCAAAGTCCTGGGCCAGCTAAACTCTGGGGCGGGTATAAAGGAGAGTGGAACAATCTGAAGGTGCTCACGGCTAACAGGAGAAGCGTGGAGACACTCTCCGTAACATCTAACAAAACACCATAAGGTAACAGGTATTTATTTATTTTTTTTTGTTTTTGTTTTTTTTTTTTTGAGACAGAGTCTCACTCTGTTGCCCTGGCTAGAGTGAGTGCTGTGGCATCAGCCTAGCTCACAGCAACCTCAAACTCCCGGGCTCAAGCGATCCTCCTGCCTCAGCCTCCCAAGTAACTGGGACTACAGGCATGCGCCACCATGCCCAGCTAAGTTTTTCTATATATTTTTAGTTGTCCAATTAATTTCTTTCTATTTTTAGTAGAGACGGGGTCTTCCTCTTGCTCAGGCTGGTTTCGAACTCCTGAGCTCAAACAATCCGCCCGCCTCGGCCTCCCAGAGAGCTAGGATTACAGGCGTGAGCCACCACGCCCGGCCAGGAAACAGGTATTTAAAATGGACACATAAGCCGTGTGCCACAGGGATGTAAAGGAAAGGGTAAAATCAGGGAGGGTTTCCACGAGAAAGCGGCGTTTGAGCTGCGACTTAAAGAATGAACAAGATTCCCAATGGGGCTGTAGTGGTGTGACAGGAGAGGTACCCAGAAGGCCAGTCACTTAACCTAACCCCCTCATTTTACAAATGGGGAAACTAGGGCCAGGAGAGGGGAAGGGACTTGCCCAAGTCATACTGCGAGTTGGAGACAGAGGTGGGCCTGGACCACTCCCCCACCTCCCCCGCACCCACTGACTCCCACTGCCTCCTGCTGCAGTGCTCTTTCCTTAAGCAGCAGGGCACAGGAGTCCAGTGTGGGGTGGAAAAGAGGCGGGGACTGTGCAGATTCTGGGTACACCCAAAGAACAGGCTGGACACCAGGCCAGGAAGTAGCTGTTCCACTGTAAGCCCTGTGAGCAAAGCCATAAACTGTACCTAGCCAGGGGTACCTGAGCAAAGTGCTTCCAGCTGGGAAATGTCCCCAGGCCAACAAAGCAGGTACTGCCAGGCAGGTGTTCTGCTCTTCCTGCTATCACACTCCAGGGACTGAGGTAGTCTGGCAGCAACTAAACCCTTTCCTTTCTGCCCTGCATTAAAGCCCTTCTGTATTAAAGCCCAACGCACTTTCACACACACAAACACTACTGGCAGAATCTTCGCTAACAGAAAAAAAGGAAAGTGTTTAGTAGGTCTATTTTTCAGATGAAGAAACTGAGGTACAGTGCTGTTCAGTGACATTCAGCAAGCACTTGCACAATGACAATATTGTGCTGGGCTCTGCACTGGGCCCGGGGACACAGAACTAGATGAGGCCCTGCCCTTGAGGAGCCCATAGATAATTATGATACAATATGATCAGTGCCATCAGAAAAACTACTTACATGCTATAAAGAAACATGGACAGAGGAATTTATTCTGTTCACTGAATGAATAAATGAATAATCAAATGAACAGTGCATGAAGTGGGTCAAGGAAGGCTTCCTGGAGGAAGGAGCAGTGATACTGGAGTTGGTCTTTGAAGGATGCACAGGTATTCTCCAAAAGGAAGGCAGGGAAGGACACTCCAGACAGAGGGAGAAGAAAGACAAAGGCTTATATGAGCAAGCGTGGTATGGTCAGGGGATGGGCTACGCAAAGGCAGGCCTTTTACTCAATCCTTGACCAAACACCTCTCCTGCCACCTTTCAGTTACTGTGAGTTACTCATGTGTAAGAGTAGCTTCTGTCTGTCTAGTATCTCCCCCTGCCAACAGTACGCTCCCCAGGCGCATCTGCTGGGCCTCATTCATCATGGTGCCCTAGGGCCCAGCACAGTGCCAGGCACCTGCAAGCCTCTATAAATATTTGAACAAGTGAACGCCACTCTAAAGAGTTTGGGCTTTATGCTGGAGAAAACAAAGTGCCCTAGAAGGGTTTCCAACAGGGGAGAAACGTGATCAGAGCCTTGTTTAGAGAAGTAACCGGCGGCGGCGGCAGCGGCGGGGGCAGCAGCAGCGTGGAGGATGAGCTAGCAGGGGAGGCAGCAGCCCAGGTGCTGGGCAGGCAGGGCATGAACCAGACAGCAGACTTGGGGATGGAGAAAACGGAATGGATTCTGAAGCTATTTCAGAGATAGACTAGACATGACTTGGTGACTAATTAGATTAGGAAAGAGATGGAGGGGGAGTGAGGAGAGGGAGTGTTTAGAATGACTCAGGTTTCTAGTTTGCACAAGACGAAGGCGCTACCAACTGAGGCGGAATCCAGGCTGCAGAGGAAGTTTGGGGAAGACGATGACATGGTTCCCAGGGTCACTGAGCTGTGAGCAAAGGTCTGACCAGAAATGAAAACCAGAGTCCCTGATTCCCTGTTATTTTATACTAATTCTATGCTGCCAACCCTTTTGAGAGTTTTCCCAGGAGTATTTAATACCGATAAAAACAAGATTGTGAAGAGAGGAGAAAAAAAGACAGGAAGTGTTCAGTAACCACGGCTTCCAAAGCATCACAGAAAATTATCTCTAGTACGACTCTACACTGCTTCCTTCTGTTTGTTCACTCAGTAAGCGAGTGCCTAGCGTGTGTCTGTGCCAGGGATTGTGCTAAATGTTTCTGTCACATATGATGAATTTCTACAGTAGATGCGGGCAGAGGGGGAAGGAGGTGATCTTTCAGAGCCTTCAAGGCCAGAAATAAGAGTCTCAGAAGAATCTTACTCTTTTTTCCACCCCAGCACCTAGACTCAGTTCGAGACCCACCTATTGGAAGTAAACCCAAAGACCCTTCAATCCAACCTCTGAGTCAATAATGGAATCTCTATTTGCCTTTCCACAAGGGGTGGGGAGCTTACTTCCTCTCAAATAACCCACTCAGAAAGTTCTGTATTTTCTTTTGGTTCTGAGGGCTCCTTCTTTTACCCCCAAAACCCTTGTGAAGCTCAGAGGTATCAAAGACTGTTCCAAGCTGAGCCCGGATGAGGAAGGGAGGAGGTTGCATTGCAAAGACAAGCCCCAGAGCTACCCCACAAATGCCTGCTGAGGAGGTGGCAGCCCAGGCTAAGGGGTTAAACAACCACAAGACGACAGAAGGAATGGTTCAAGCATTCACCAGCAGAGCCTCCTAAAACATTTAAAGGACAGAAACATGCAACCAATAAACAATGAGCCAAGAACTGTCCCAAGACCTGTCCCAAGACTTCAGTCACTACCTCTGTGCTGACACTCCAAAACCTTTCTCTTCCGTTTCCCCTCTCCTGAGCTACAGACCCACACAGCCAACAGCCTCTGGACATGCTCTCCAAACCCATTCCTCCCGCTGCATTCCCTTCTCAGTGAATGGAACCCCTTCCGGCCAGTCACCCAAACCTAAAGCCTTAGTGCCCTCCTGGGCACCTCCTCTTTCCTCCCCTCCGTCACCTCAGTTCGGCACCAAATTTTCTCAACTCTATCTCCCAAATGCTTCTCAAATCCACCTTGACCAGGTCACTGTCCTCCTTAGCCTAGATTAATTCAATAGCTTCGGAACTAATATCCCTGCCTCAATCCATTCTCACAGTGCCCACGGTAATCGCTCCAAAGCACAAATGGGACAAAACTCTTCACTGGTTCCCTCGCTGCTCTTAGGATGAAGTCACACTCCCCAAAAAGGCCTACAAGGCCCTCTGGGATCTGGCCCTTGCTTAACTGCCTGGTCTCATTTCTTACTCTCTTTCCCCTCATCACTACGACTAAACTGATCTTAAAGTTCTCCACAATACTGAGCTGTCTTACTTGCTTCCTGGTCTTTGTGCAGCTGTTTTCTCTACTGGAACACCATTCCTTTCTTTACCCAGCTAACTCTTACCGGTGATTCCATTTTTGGCTTAAACATCACCTCCTCTAAGAAGTCTTTATGCACCCTTAGACCGAGTTAGGTATCCCTCCTGTGCTGTGCCAGTACCTTACACTTACTCTCGTTTAATACTTAGCACACCGATTCTTCAATCTACATACCTACATTACTCTTCCACTTGGATTATTTACTACATGCCAAGCACTTTATGTGGACTATCTCATTTAATCTTTGCAGTAACTCTGAGGTAGGTACTGTTATGACCCCACTCTAAAGAAGGGGAAACTGAGACTCATATTTGTAACAAAATCCTTCAAGGACGTGGCAGAGCAGGGATTTGAAGCCAAATCTCTCTGGCCTCACAGACCAAGATCTTAAACACTGAAATCGACCAAGATGGTTCCCTCATAGAACCAAAGGGTGCTTGAGTTTTACTATTCCTACACCGGGTCCACGCTTGAGTACCCTGGGCTGGTGGCAGTGGAAAATTACAGGAATTTTGACTCTTAACAATAGGCTGAAATCCTCCAGGGCTATGTAGTAAGGGGAGGGGAGGCAGCACTGACTGAGATGCTTTAAAACCATACATTTCCTTTTTCGAACACCTGGGACCAGGAGGTGGACACGGGTATGGTGGGGAAAAAAGTACCAGTTCTTCTTCTATTCCAGACACTTTTCTTTCTGTACTACTTTTTGGTATTTCACTCCTAGCATAGCCCAGGCAGCACCGCATAGTAATCACAGCAGCCAGAGCTGCCACCAAGCACTGGCATGTGCTATGTACTAACAACGTGCCAAGCTCCCTGTAGGACTTCCTGCATTTCATCCTCCTTTCAGCCTTTACAGGTATTACTTTTTCCTTTTTACAGGTGAGGAAACTGAGGCTCAGAGCCCTTAGATGGTTTGTCCAAGGACATACAACTGTTAACACATTGATTGCCACACTAGAAAAAAATTTTTTTCCTTAGGGCCATGGTGTTTTATTAAAACAAAATGATCCTTTCTAGTTTGTTATTTTTTATTGTTTTCTGTGCGTGAGTTATATGCAACGCAATCCACGTTTTTAGAATGAAATTGTCAATATTAACTGTAACAATAAGAACATCAACAAGTAAGATTTTCACAAACCAATTGCAGGGTTTTGCTTCACGAGGCCCCTGGATCAAAATTAGCCCAAGTTAAATACAACTCACATGGCAGTTTTAATGTGTTAAGTAATAGGATTCTAGCCCAGTTCTGTCTAACCTGTCACTGCTTCCAGGATGCATACAAATTATCCCCAAAGCTTATTAAAATGCAGATTCCTGGGCACAGAACAGGTCTGAGTGGGACCCAAAAGTGTGCTCTTTTAACATGCTCTCAGGTGATTCTAAGACAGAACATCAACATCAACCTAGAAACAATAAACTATGGTAATGTTTTCCCAAACTGTGTTCCTCAGAAATACCAGTGTCACAAAAAATGAACAGACGCTAAAAAAAAAAAAAGAGGGGAAAGAAAGTTCCATGGTTAAGTAAATTTAAGAAATATTGCATGTTCTATTCCTTCCTGGAAGATTTACAATGTCCAATAGCAAATTAAGAATTTTGAAATGCCCTGTGAACAAACTTATTCAGCTGTATTTAAGAGTATTTCCCAAACTTATTTAACCCCAGAATCATCCTCTATTAATAATACCTATTAATATCTTATAAGACTCAGCAAATGGAATGGAATTTGGGAAACACTGCTACATGATGCGTCCTTCTAACCCCAGCCCACCCTGGCCTCTCTTCTTCCTACCTCTGCTAAGTATGCAACGAAAGGAGTTCTACTCGTGGCCTCACCCTCACTTGCTATGTGTGACCTTTGGCAAGCCACTTAACCTCTTTGGGTTTGTTCCTCAGCTGTAAATTGGGTGTAATAATCCCTGTATGCCTATAGGGCCTTCATGATAGGGATAAAAAGGTCGAAATACTGTGTCAACTGTACAGGGCTACACTCCCTCCCTGTAAGGACTCTTACCACTTCTTTGGCATGTGACTATACTCAGTTAAGCACTTTGTAATATCCCATATGATCTTGTTTTCCAGTTTTTCCTGCATGGGTTTTAACTCCTAAATCACTGTGTGATCTTGGGCAACTCATGACCCCTCTCTAGGCTTCGGTTTCCTCCTCTGCAATATGAGGGGGCTATTTTAACGGTCCACCCAGCACTGACCTAGGAGTCTAGTAAAACAAACAAACAAACAAACAACAACAAAAAAACACTAAAAGGCAACATGTGTTACACATTATGCACCAAATGCTTAACAAGCATCATTTCATTAGTCTTCATAATAGCTCTATGAAGTAAACTCCATTAGGCCCCATTTTAGAGGAGGAAACTTTGACTCAGAAAGGCAAACATCTTGCTCAAGGGATCAAAACTATTTAGGTGATGGAGCCAAGATGTGAACCTACCTCTGACTCTACACTGCACTTGACCATCCTACTATTCTGTCACCTGATAAAGTATTCTGGCCACAGCATCACCTTGCTGCGGTGTTCCTGGCTAAATCAAGACAGGCTGGCCAGTGGGGAAAAGGCATCTGCAGAAAACCCGGGTTCTGACCCCAGCTTTGCTGCTGCCTGTCTGGTGACTTCAGATAAATTCTATGTCTTCTTGGGGTTTCATTTTTTCCTATATGTGAAATGGAGCTGCTGGACTAAGTGGTCAAACCAGCTCACCTGTGGCGCCTGCTACAACCACTGATTGATTCTCCGGACTACTCTGACGCAGTATGTGGGGGGTGGGTCCGGAAGCCTGTATTTCCCAAAATGATACTGATGGAACCAGAGCTCTACACATCCTGTCAGCGGATGACAGCCGCCAGGGAACCCACGGGAGCCTTGGGAGGGTGTGGAACCCAGGCCGGGACCAGCATGGACCTGTGGGTTCCAAGGTCCCCGAAGCCTCGCCTGCACGACGTCAGAGGGGGCGCGACACGACCTCCCGGACGCGCGGTCCTGCATGACGTAAGCCGGGCGCGACCGATGGTCCCTTTTGCGTTCTCTCCCGTGCGAGGTCTCGCTGAAGCGAACCAAGCGTGGGAAGGGCACGGAGAAAGGCGGGGGAAAGAAGAGTCGGGGGGCGCCAGGCCTGGGCTTGGCACGGGCCCTAGCTGGACTCGCGGGCCCCTCACGCACTCACCTGCCCATACGGATAGCTGGTCATGGCGGCTCTGACGTCACAAGCCTGCGAGGGGCGAGGCCTCGCGCTCTCAGACCCCGCCCCCGCCAGGGCCTGGGGGCGGGACCGCACCTGATTGGACAGCCATGCTCTCAATCTTGGGCGCAGTAAGACGACGGAAGTGACGGTACAGGGCAGCGGGCGAGTGCCTACCAGACAGACCAGAAGTGCTAAAGACCTGGTGGAGCCTTCCGGAAATCTTGGTGGCTGTACCGGCGCTCCTGTTTCTCCCTTTCCTGACCTGGAGTAGGCCCCAGAGCTGGTCAGGCCGGGATATTTAGTGAGAAGCCTAGGTCGGATGTTGCTGCGGCGGCCATATTATAACCTGGCAAATGGGACGCATGATAGTGGCGTAATTGTTGTCGTCATTCCGAGTTTCCGCCCGGTGAGGGCCCAGATGGTTGCCACGACAACGGGGAACCTACCAAGGCCTCCTGGAAAGGATGGAGGTGATGGCAGAATTACTCCTTTTTGACGTCAAGACGCTGGGTGCAACTTAGTAGCCTTGGGGTGACATACAGATCTGTGGTGTTTGAAGAAGAAAATTCCGAACCGTTAGAGCAGGAGGAAAATTAGATTGTCTAGTAATTCTTCATATACGGGGAAATTGAGAGGCAGTGACTTGCCCTAGTTCACAGTGGGTTAGTGGCAGAGTGTAGCCTAGAACCAGGGTCAAGGATGCCTAGTTCTCAGCAGGGAAGTCTAGATTGATTCCCATAGTAGGTCAAATCCTGATTTCTAGGCGACCTCAGCACCACGTATGTGCCACTCGGTGGTTCAGTTTCTGCACTTGTTTGTGTGCTTATTTGATTAATTTGTTAAGTTCTTCCATGTGGGCAAGGACTGTATCTGCTTTGCTTGTCATTATAATCCCAGTACCTAGTACAGTGCCTGACACTGTATTTTTTAAATAAATGAATGAATAAATTAGTGTTATTAGGTCTTATCCACTCCAGCCCATCTAACCATCTAGCCAAGCACTTTCCACAATCACAGTGCTGGTCATGCTACTTGCCCATTGCACAGCCTACAATGGTGCTCTTCATCCACAACTACAAAGTAAGGCCCACTCTCTTCATCCTGGCCCTCCAGTCCCTTCACAGTCTGGCCCACCCTCACCTTTCCAGTCTCATGTCTTACAGCCCTGGCCTGTCTTCCACTCTGTACTGCTCAGTTCCACCATTCAGCACCTCTGCTTTGGATTGAGGGTCACTTTCTAATTGTATGGCCTTGGGCAGGTTATTTAGAGACCTGAATCTCAGTTTTGTTAGCTGTCAGAAACAAATATGTAATTTGAAAATGAGCTATTGCACCTCCTCATACCTAGAGTTATGCTCAAACCACTCCTTTCTTCTGGAAGAGAGGGAGCAGCCCTCCCATCTCCAGTCCTACAAGGATCAGTTCCAATCTCATCCTCCATCTAAAATGGAGGCATCCTCCCACAGTGCCCCCAAGCTTCAGAGTTAGCCACCCTCTTGCCAGTCTCTCTCTGCACTTGGTGCTATCACTGCCATATTCCAGCCTGCCTTGTATAAAGAGTTCTCTTGATGTTTTCCCCCAAAACAAAACCCATTCCTCTCCTTCATCTCAGAAAATCCAGTCAGTCAGGCCAAAATCCTAGGATCATTCTTGTATATCCTATTTTCTCTATGCACTTCCCCGCCTCCATTTGCTCTAGTTCAAAAATATACCCACATCTGCTCTTTTCTCCCTGTTCACACTATCACTCTAGTCCAAGACACCATCATCTGTGCCTGGATCACTACAATAGCCTCCTGACCAATGTCGCTTTCACTCTTTCCCTCACTATAGGGCAGCCAGAGTGATTGCCTAAAAATGTCATTCCCTGGCTTAAACTCCGGGGGCTTCCCATCACTCTTACAATAAAGGCTAAGCTCATCCTTATGACTTTCATGGTCCTACATGACCTAGACCCTGCCTGTGTCTCCAGCCTCATTTCCTACCATTGCCGTCCTCCTTGAATCACTCCAGCCATGCTGGCCTGGTCGTGCCACCCCTGGAACATGCTGAGCTCATTCACACCTCCATATCTTTGGATTAGCTCTTCCCTCTCTGTCTAGAACACTTTGACTTTTCACTGGTTGGCTCCTCCCTGTTATCTAAGTCTCAGTTCAAATATCACCTCTTGGAGTGGGGGAGCATTCCTTGACACCACATCTAAAGTACACTGCCTCCCCCAACATCCAGTCATCTAGCATATCATACTGTATTTTTTCATAAGAGGTGTCACTGCTTAATTGTCCTCTTTAAGGTTTACATGTATGTTGTAAGGTTTACATATATTATAGAATTGTCCTTTTCTTATTTATTTTTCTATCCCCAACACCTAGAGTAGTGCCTGGCATGAATTCAATAAATGATAGTGATTATTATTATTAATATTATGTACTGAATGCTTACGAGGTGCTGAAATTTGTGCTAAGTACTATGTGTTGTTTAATTTTCATCACAGTCTTTTGAGAGAGGATGCTATTACCCATTTATAAGATAAGGAGCTGAGGCTCAGAGAGGCTCAGTGACTTCCCTAATAGCAAAAAGATAAATGGAGAAGTCTGAATTTGAACTCAGGTCTACACTCATTTTAATTACTCAGTGTTTAATAGTTAGTAGGCCATGTCTTCTTTACCTTTATAACCTCCCAGTCCAAAAAAATGTTGGTGGATTGAACTGAAAAATCTCAGAAAGGAAGACGTCCTGAAGTCCAGACTGAAGTTCAAGGCTGGGAGAGAGGATAGTGACACCCGGCCTGCAGATTGGGTCGTGTGACATGTGCTCATTTATTCCACAAACATGTGAGCCTCTTGAATTCCCCCCACTTGCCAGGCTTTGTTCCAGGTGCTGAGGATTCAATTCCTATGAGAATTCTTTGCCTCCATCCCCTTCTGCCCAGCAAAGGGCTCTTAAGGGAGTTTGCTGTTGGAAGTCTGTGCTGTTTGGGGGCAGAGGCTTCCAAATCTTCCCTCAGCCAGTCAGAGACCAGCCAAAGCTGACATCCAGGGCTGTGCCTCTGAGGACCTGCAGCACACCCAGGTGTGTTTGTTTTGGAGGGGGCTGGATAAGAGAGAGATCAGGATCTTCCAAAGACTGAAAAACAATCAACTCATTTCTAAAACCTCCACTACCTGAGGCAGACAGAGGTGGGTGGGGAAGTTCCTGTTATTGTTTCAGTTTTAGCCAAAGGGGAAATCTTGGATTCCAGCCCTTTTTAGAGCACAGAGCACTTTCCTGAGTTCATGGAAGCCCTGTGGTTGACCCATTAGAGGTGAGGCAGAGCTTGGGAATGAAAAGCCCATCCACTGGAAAATATTGCCTCCCCTAGAGACACATCATCCCCGAGGCCTCCTGGCTCCGCACCAAGCCCCGGTATGGCTTACTGAGAAGGAATACCAACACCCACCTAATTATTCTGGAATTAATTCTCTTTGATTCCAACCAGATCCAGTTCTGAAATTTAAATTCCAGTTGGGTATTGTGGATCAGAGGGTGATTTGCAACTTTCTGCAGAATCAACTGAAAAATGAGAACTGCAGACAGGGCAATTTGGCCACACTCCCTTCCATTATGGTAGTGTAGGGGGAGCACATTGACAAAGTCTATTCCCATAGACTACTCAGGACAGCCACAAAAAAGATCTAGTCTTGTAAGGGGTTAACAGACCCTATGTGAAGTCTTATTAGATTCTGTCGAATTCTGGTGACAAAGGAAAATACTATGACAAAAAGGAAGATTTAAATTCCAGAAGCATCAAATTTGGGATTTTTCCCTGCAGAATAAATATGCAGCAGCCTTTTCTCCATCTTACAAAGCAGAGCGTTTCTCAAATTAAGGACCTTCCAGTCCATTCTTCACACTGCCATCGGCGAACTCCCCATTAGGCAAACCGGACGCGACATACCTTTGCGTGAAACCTATCAGTGACTTCCCGCCATGTCTCCCCTGCGCGTGCTCTGCAGTCCAGCCACACTGACCTGTCTCCCGTCACTCAGCCTGCTGCACCCAGTCATCCCTGGACCTTGGCACGTGCTGTTCCCTCTGCCTGCTCCATCTCTCTTTGCCCAGACACGGTTTGGTCCTCCGGCTATGCAATCCCCGGCACCTGGTCCTGCCCTGTCCTCCGCCTTCATTGTAATTGTTTAACTGTCTGCTCTCCCCACAAACACTGTGGGGGCAGGGACCATATCTGTCTAGTTTGCCTTGGGATCTGCATAGTCTAGTACAGTTCCTGGCACAAAGTAGGAAGAGGAAATGGACTCATCAAGTTAGACTTTGGCAATCTGATCTGTGCGTTGCCTTAAAAGCCTGGAATAGACTAAGAACTGAAGACAGAAGAGTAACAGGGCGGGAATGTGAAAAAGCTGCCTGGGAGGAATGGAAGGCATGTGCCCCTCCCTTCTTTCTCTTCAGCCTACCCAGCTCCTGAACTGATGAGGGAAAGCCATGGATTTTTTGCTGACCACAGTAACAGAAGCGACTATAAAATTCAGCTTTCCATCTGGTTCTTCATGGTCCAAGAAAATACAGCAATTTCAAACTCCAGGGAGACAGACATTCAAATGATGAAAGCTTAAACCTAGCCTTTCGTAGAATCCCCTAAGAGTGGCATGAATTTGACTCAGGAAGAAAATTGAAGAAAGCGTCATTTACTCTGTAAGGATTGATTCCCTGGGGACCCTTACAGGGGATGAGTTTTATGTTTCCTCATAGCAATTTTCCCCTCTGGCCTTCAAAGCCAACCCTGCTCAATTCCACAGCTGGTCCTTGCTTCTCTTTCTCTCTACTCGCGCCAACAAGCCCCCAGTCATGAAGCCCATCATCGGTTAGCGCTCACACGCTGGCCCGAAAGTGGGAGCTGGCCCTCCGACGGGAGCGCTTTAACATCTGTCCTCGTCCCCTGTCCAAAACCTGGCTGCTACTTCAATGCAGAGATGATGCATTTGCTTTTTAACGTTTTGTGTTAGAACCAGGGTTAACTGAGAATAGCTGGTGCGGGATGAA